TTACAGGCACTAAGTATGGCTGTGGTGGAGGAGGATGTGGAGCCTGTACCGTCATGGTGTCCAGATACGACCCTCAGACCAAGAGCATCAAGTATTTCACTCACTCTCTTTCTCCTTTCATCATATTGATACTTTTTATGAATGTGTCTGACCCCATAATGCCACTTTTTTCCCTCAATTTTGTCAATCCAGATTCCACTTCAAACTTAAATTCTACGTCATTTTAAGTCAGATTTCTTTTTATTTCTTAAGGAAGATAGGCATGCTGCTAATATCTCTACTCTTTTATTTATTAATTCGTTTTTGTTAAGCAAATCTGATAAAAATCTGTATTAAATTTTTGTTTCTTTCCTGGTCAGTCATTCATCGGTCAATGTCTGTCTGCTTCCTGTGTGCCAACTTCACGGAGCAGCTGTGATGACCGTTGAAGGCATCGGAAGCACCAACACCAAATTACACCCAGTCCAGGTAACAGATTCACATTAGAATCTATATTATTCCCAATTCAGATTATAAGATCCAGATAATGACTTTAGTTTGTTAAAATCTAGATCACCTTCAATCCAGATTAAGATTACTGCCAATTCAAATATGATTTTATAATAAAGATTACACTCAGTGTGAATTATGAGATTAAATGATCTGATCATAACTTGATTTTCACCCTTTCACCCCTGTAGTTAGGTCAGTGATGTGGCATTTTTTTAATTATCTATTGTGATGAGTGGGGGCGGGGCCGAGAGCCATGGGAACGGAGTGAGGCCGGTAGAGTAATTGATAATGAGCGTCACCTGCACCACTCACCGGTCTCGAGTCCCACGGAGGAGCTCCGGAAGGATAAAAGGAGGAGTTACGACAGTGAAAGACGAGAGAGGACCAGGCCTGGATTTTATTTTGTGTTTTGGTTTTTGTTTGGGCTGTCGCGCTATTTTGTGTTTGTTTATTTTATAAAAAAATAAAATAAAAAAAGTACGGTTTTTTTTGCATAATGTACATGATCTGACATTTGTGTGTTGCTGATTTTTTTGTTCTTTTATGGTTATTAATTGCAAAAACCCTTTTTATGTTATTTTTATAGAGTGAAAACTGTTGCCAATTAAATGGCTCAGCCTGCAATATGGCAAATGGAAATGAAAACGTATCTGTGGAGCTCATAGGGAATGTGAGTATTTTTACCTTGAATATTGCACTCACTTTTGTAATATTTTATTGTACTGCTGCACTTTGACTGTTAGTTGCAGTAAAAACATACTGGCCAATGTCCTTACATAAAATATAACTGGGCCAGTGTATTTACAAATGTACACCGAAGAGTACAAAACTGTATACGTAATATTTAATGTATAATATTTAATATACCGAAAATGTTATGCTTTTATACTTTCAATAATTATTACCTTCACCCAATACACACACACACTCACATACTATTCAAAATATAGAATATAAATGAAATATATATACCTTCATTATTTATTACATAATTTATTACTTAATTATTTTATAAAAAATATATAACAAATAATATTATCATGTGTGTATATATATATATATATATATACTGTATATTCGTGTGTGTGTGTGTGTGTGTGTGTGTCACGGTGCTGTCAGGTAAACGCACAAAGAAGATGAATATTACTGCAAATAGTCTGACAGTTCACCCCCTTCAATTATTACCTTCACCCAATACACACACACACACACACACACACACACTCATAAATGAAATATATATACCTTCATTATTTATTACATAATTTATTACTTAATTATTTTATAAAAAATATATAACAAATAATATTATCATATATATATATATAGAAGACGATGGAGGGTGGAGCCAGGGAGGAAATCGGAGGAGCCAGGGCGGATCACACGGTGGGAGGAGCTATTTTGGAGGCAGAAGGGACCAGGGCGGATCAGATGGAGGGAGGGAGCAGGAGGAGCCAGGCGGGACCCAGGCCACAGCCATGATGGCGGCCCACGGTGGAGCCGACGGATGGAGGAGCCAAGGTGGAGGAAGGACTGACGGCTCCAGGGGGCTGACCGACGGCGGCGGAGCAGGTGGTGGTGGAGCCCGAGGTGGAAACGGAGAGCCGAAGAGCCATGGTGACGCTGAGGATCCGGAGGGCCGCGGTGGAGCCGGAGCGACAGAGGACCAAGGTGGAGCCGGAAGGAGGAGCCAGAGGGACGGAGGGACGAGGCGCAGCCACCCCTAGCGGTCCTCCGTGCCCTCACTCCCTACTGACACTTCCACCGTCGCATGTCTAGCAGCCGGCACGCCCACCTGGACTGACGTCGATTGAGGCTCTGGCTCCGGGGCGATCCTCAGCTCTGTCGCTCTCCTAGGCGATGGCTCGTCAGTCGTGGCGAGCTCTAGCTCTCTGTCAGCGGTGGGCTCAAACTGTAGCTCCGCAAAGCAGGGTGGTGGTGGGCTGGGCTCTTGGTCGACCATAATAACTCAAAAGAAAAACTTTCCAAACAAAAACAAAACGCGGGGAAACATGCCGCTTACTTTTACTTCTTTGGTCCGGTATTCGGTCACGGTGCTGTGAGGTAAATGCACGAAGAAGATGAAGATTAATGCAAATAGTCTTTAATAATCCACAAGAGAGTAAATCCAGCATGGACAGGCAGGAGACCCATGTAGGAGCAACACAAATAACATCAATAATACCGGACCAGAGACAACTAAACAGACTAGAACTAGGGGTGCTAATGAGGGGCAGACAGGTGAGGAGGATCAACTAATAAGGACACAGGTGAACTGACTAACATAACCAGACATGAGGGAAAACTAGGTCACGGGCACATGAGGGAAGAAAACACAACAAAATTCTGTGAGTCTGACAATACATATATATATATATATATATATATATATATAACATACTGAAACCGTATATATATATATAACATACTGAAAACTGAAACAAAAAAGAAAACAGAAATATCAGTTTAATGTGTAATATACTAAATATTTTATGCGTTTATAATTTCAATAATTATTAACTTTACCCAATACAATGCATACACACACATAATAGTTAATATGGAATATAAATGAAATATGTGTGTGTATATTCATACAGTATGTATATATTCATTATTAATTTTACACAATACTATACATACACATTTAAAACAATATTTATTAGTGTATGTTAACTGTATATTTATCAAGACATTATTATATAATAAGTGATTTTGTTATTAAATATATAATATTACTTTTATAATAAGAAAACATATTTTTTAATAATTAATTTATGTATATACATAAAAAAAAAATCAGAAATAGCAGTTTGGATCAGGCAAGAAATTATTAAGGACATGGTTATGATATATTAGTCTATAATTACTCTTCATCAAACTTGCGTTCTTAAAACGCTTGCGCTCAGTGGATTACATTGTTATTTTTGTGTTTATTAGGGTCAGCCAGAACTGTTCAGTAAAGATGACCTGCTTCCCCTTGACCCAACCCAGGATCTGATCTTCCCTCCTGAGCTTATGGTTTGTCAGTTTGTTCAAAACTGTTCGTTTGGCTTCACTAAAAAGCAGGTTATGTAATGATGACTGCAATATTTTAAATAAAGTTTAATGTTTAAGCAAGGTCTAACAAGGTCGCCATTAGGTTCTAGTTTGTTATTAATTCTATTTTAGGCTTCGATAAGCTGCCTGTCAGAAGTTCAAGTGCCGTTATCTGCTAAACAACACATTTGTATGTTGTATAATCATGGTCTGTTCTGCTTTTTGGTGTTTAGAGATTGGCAGAGGTCAAGGACCAAACCACTTGGTTTTGTGGGGAGAGAATGACCTGAATCAGCCCTGGATCTATAGATGAGCTGCTCCAGCTGAAGGCGGATTACCCACAGGTAGACTTGTGCCGGTATTCGGTAATGCGATATATCACGGTAATGAGTATGCACAGTATTGTTATCGTGGGCACTTCTAAATACCGTGAATAATTATATATTACAAATTATTCAGAATTGTGAATGCATTTTAAGAATACTTTTCCCATCAACTGGTCAAAATGCACAACACTGCTGTATGCTGCGTGAAAGAGGCGTGCCCATATCACGGTAATTAATATGCACGATATTGTTATCGTGGGCTCTTCTAAATACCGTGAATAATTATATATTAAAAGTTATTCAGAATTTTGAATGCATTTTAAGAATACTTTTCCCATCAACTGGTAAAAATGCACAACATCGCTGTATGCCGAGTGAAAGACGCGTGGCACTCTGATGTAAATAAGCGTGGACGAGAAGCACATGGCGGAACATGTGAGAGACGCTCTGGATGGATGCTCGATTTTCCCTCACCTGCTCGCGCAAACACTTTTATTTTTGTCAGTCGTGGGGCGGGGCTTGCTGTTTTAATTGTAACCTCAAATGTCATTGGTTATTCCTCTTTTCCGGAAGTCAGTTTTGGACGCCTGTTATAAGATGATTTATAATTCTCTTGACTTAAGACATGGCATCAGTGGACCAGATACATGTGAGTTATCGTTTCATTTGCTTGTTTTATTTATTTATTTTGTCTTTATTTAATGTAATTTAATGCATTGTTCATAGAGTAGATTTTTTTCAGATACTTTATTAATAGGAAGTCTTCTGTTTATTATTGCATAAATTTATTTCAATTTTTACTGTTTCTATAGGATTGAATGCATTTGGTGTGATGTCAGAATCATGGTGACCAACAAGTACTAGACATGCTGCACTCGCTGGAAGCATAACGATTGCTTGACATATCAGTGGTCGAGATCCTTTTCAGTGTGCACTTCACTTTTCTCCCAAGAGTTCAGGCAGACTTGGACACATTTCTAGAAGCCTGGAATCATCCACTCTCCTCAGAAGGCAATCGAAGTTCAGAGCATCTGTGGCGCATTGGACTGATACACACAAAATGTATCAATCCGAGAGATATGAGGTATGGAGAATCTGCTTTCTTTACTCTGTCACCACACTGCTGTTTATGCATTAGTCTAAGTGGATTTTTAACTATGTATTTAACTGCTAAATCATTAGCTATTGTTCAAGAATTTGAATCACTTTTGAGTTCGGATGGGTTGAGGGCACTCAAACACCTTCTGAATTAAACTAGTCCTAATATCCCTGTTAAAGAACTGTATTTGCTTTGTCATTAGCAATTAATCGCAACATGAAAATTTGATACCGGCATATTCCTACCCACAGGCACCTCTTGTCATGGGCAAACACCAACATAGGTTGTGTATGGGCAAATTAGGCCAAACCTAATAAAATCCAATGTATTTTTTTTTTTCTGCCAATTTGACATTATCAGCCACTGTGATGTTTCATTCCTTTGTTTTATTTATTTTTTTCATTGTTGTTTGATTTCATTGTTGTTTAACTTGTTTTATTTTATTTTACAGGTCTAGATATGAAGTGCAAGTGTATTTTTCATCTTGTCATAATATCACCAACACGAGTGCCAGAACTGTTAAAGGTTACCCAGAAATCAGAGGGTATTTTTTTTTTGCATATGAGTAGATTTTTCTGTTTGTTTTGTCATCATTTACATCATTTACCCTCATGTTGTTCCAAACCAGTTTTTTCTTCTGTTGAACACAAAAGAAGATATTTTAAAGAAAGTTAACCAAACAGTTGATGGTAGTCATTGACTTCCATAGTTTTTTTTCCCCATACTATGGAAGTCAATGGCTATCAGCCATTGTTTGATTATTAACATTTTTCAAAATATCTTCTTTTGTGTTCGACAGAAGAAAAAAAAACAACAACTTTGGAACAACTTGAGGATGAGTAAATAATGACAACATTTTCATTTTTGTTTGAACTATCCCTTTAAGGAACTGATATTTTGCAAGAAGTGTTAATGAATGGTTTGTATTTGTAGGTGTGTGTGTCGGAGCGGGATGCAGTATGTCGGTTCTGAAGAGTGTGTTGGAGAGAAGTATAAAAGATTTCCCACCAGAGAACACGCACATGTTTCAGGCTCTGCTGCAGCAGATAAACCTTGTGGGCGGACAACAGATCCGAAATGTGGCTGTAAGTGTAAACCGAACCTGAATGCACAACATCACTCTTGCTACTCTTACAAATTCACTCACTCTGAAGTGGCATTGCTTGTATCCTTTGCGGAGAAGAATCCCAGAATGCACAGCAGTGAGTTCAATGAGAAATAACTTGTATTAAAACATGATTTTTAATTTTAGTTTAAGTTTCAGTGCTTTTGTCATAGCTTTTATATATATTTCTACATATCTTTCATTTATAGTGAGTGAAAAATTTTTTTTAATTTTTTACTTTATTTAATCTTTATTTCAATTTCTGAAATCAATTTTTAATAGTTTTAGTTAACTATAACAACACTGATCAACATAAAGATAGCAATACTTCAATTAAAGAAAAAATATTATTTTAATTAATGATTAATTCATTAATAATGGTTAATTATAAATAAGTAGTAATTATTATTAAGTATTATTTTGAAAACATTTTAATTGCTAAAAAATGTATGTGTTCAATTATGTGCAAATTATATATATCTGAACATTAAATCCCAAATTAAGGTAAAAAAAAAAATCATAAAGAAAGCATAATACTTTTATTATTTTCAAATAATTTTAATGAAGTAAATAAATAAATAAAACAAGTAAAAATTAGCTTTATTGTAAATGTTAAATAGTTTTATTTTTACATGTTAAATAGTCAACAGTCAAAATTGAATTAGTTAAAAAATATATATATATATTATTTTATTTTTGTGTTTGTTAACATATTTAGACACTGGGCGGCAATATTGCAAGTGCATATCCAAACTCCGACCTGACCCCTGTCTTAGCTGCTGGAAGATGCACTCTAGTGGCACTTTCTAAAGGTGACCCAACTTCCTGTATAATTTACAATATTTTAATCACACTGCAGAGCACAGCTGAAACTGCACTCTACAATGCTCACATTTTGTATTAATTATGAATATAATTATGTACTTCAAGCATGTTTACCTGACAGGCTTCTCAATTTTCTACCCGAATATCCATTACAGAGGGAAGAAGGAGGGTGCCTATCGATAAAGATTTTTTCCTCGGATTTGCAAAGACAATTCTAAAGCCAGACGAGATAGTGTTGTCCATTTTCATTCCAGCTACAAGACAGGCAAGAAATTAACCATCAGCTAGTTGTTTAAGCATTGTTAGCAACAATTAAGTTGCCTAATACTAAAGTATCTTTTTTTTCCCCCCCAGAACGAGATCGTGTATTCCTTCCGACATGCCCCACGTAAGGAGAACGCACTAGCTATGGTGAATGCTGGGATGCGTGTTTGGTTCAGCCAGTGCTCAAATGTAGTGAAGGAGATCAGTATTTATTACGGAGGAGTGGGAGCCACTATCCTCAGTGCTGACAGCACGTGCCAACAGATTGTAGGAAGGTAAGACATGCATTCACGTTTTTATTTTTTAGTTGCATTTCCTTTGGAGATAGAATATAAGTAAGTTCTATTTTGTGAAGTAAAATTTTAAGTTGTGTAATGCTTCAGTTGTTTTTTAAGTTGCATATTTTTCTGGGAATGGAGTAAAAGTTAAGTTGCATAATACTTTTTTGCATTGTTTTTTGATTCGCATTTCCTCTGGGATGGGAGTAGTTCTCGATCTAGTTCTCGTCCTGGGGGCAGCCAGGCGAGGACTACTTCGTGCAGTGGTGCGGGTGGTCTGAGGGTGACAGTGATGGCAAACCCTCCAGGGAACCAACCCTCGAGGGACCATCACTCCTCTTGCGCTCCACAACCAGTTGAGCAGCCAAAGGAACTTGCTGGGCCCTCTACAAGGAGCATACCAGCAGTATCCTTTGGCGCTCCTCCCGACGATCAGATGTCGATCGTTGAATCGGAGGGTGAGCTGGTGCCGCCCTCAGGGATGGTAGCAAAGCCTGAATCGGATCCGGAAATGATGGCTATGCTTTCCCGGCCTGCCGTGAGGGTAGAGCTCGAGTGGAGACCTCCACCGTGTCCCGAGCCCTCGAGGTTGGACGATTGGTTTCTCGGGGTGGCCCGCACTGGTTCTCAACGCCCCGCCCCGGTGCCATTCTTCCCGGAGGTGCATGAGGAGCTTACCAGGTCGTGGACGGCACCTTTTACTGCCAGGAACCGACCTGCTAGCTCCTCCTCCCTCACCACCCTCGACGGTGGGGCAGCTAAGGGGTATATTGTGGTCCCACCGGTGAAGCGGTCGGTAGCGATACAGTTGTCCTAATACTGCCTCTACCTGGCGGGGCAAACCGTCCCTTCCCTCCTGGGCCTGTAGGTACTCGTCTGGTCTGACCGGCAGTGCTTATATGGCCTGTGGAAGAGCTGCTTCCGCCTTACACGCTATGGCGTTACTGCAGGTCCATCAGACTAAGGCACTGAAGGACCTGCACGAGGGTGGTCATGATCCGGAGGTTCTGAAAGTGCTCCGAACCGCTACGGACCTCGCAGTCTGAGCAACAAAGGTCACAGCAAGTTCCCTGGGCCATGCGATGTCCACGCTTGTGGTCCAGGAGCGCCATCTCTGGCTGTGTCTGGCCAACATGAGGGATGCAGACAAAGTTCGGTTTCTCAATGCCCTGTGTCCCAAACCGGCCTCTTCAGCGACACAGTCGATAGTTTTGCCCAGCAGTTCTCGGCTGTACTGAAGCAGACTGAGGCGATTTGTCACATCCTGCCCCGCCGGGCAGCTGCTGCCTCCACCCATCTGCAGCGCACCAGTCTGCTTGTCGCCGAGGGCAGCCCCCTGCATCCGCCCCCGCTCCCGCGCTGCATCCGCAGCAGCCTCCAGCCAAGCAGCGCCGTGAGTGTGGCCCAATCAGGCCCCCGCCAAACCTGGTGGTAAGCGGAAGAGCAAGCGGCCCTGATACGGGTGACCCAGAGATGGAGGGAACTGCTCTTCGGGAGATGGTGAAGGCACCACTCCCTCCCCTGGAGGAGGGCCGGGTGAAGAATATTTTGTTTAGTTTTGTCCCGCCGTCAGCCTCACGGTCGATGGCACCAAAATTTTTGACAAAAGCAGTTTTCTCTACAAAAAGCAAGAACTCTGAACTTACAGAAGGTAAACAGCAGACAGTGTGTGTTTTATGTGTGCAGAATCTCAAACATCTCAATCCCCAATCCAACCCTCTCCATTGACTTTGTATTGCGGGAAGCTGCCTCCTTCTCATTTCTGACTTACAACAAAAAACAGAACAATGCCTAAAAGCTGCTGTGTGACAAGGTGTACAGCAAACAAGCTAAAAAACCCAGAACTAAGTTTTTATAAGCTACCGAACCGTAAAAGCCAGCCTTTAAGGAGACAAAAGTGGATACAGGCAATAAGACGTGAAGCATCAGCAGGAAGAATGGGTAAATTGTGGGATCCTTACACTAAGTATGCCTACGTGTGCAGTAAACATTTTGTCACTGTAAGTCAAATATCCAAATGTCAGTTTTATATATTATATTTCTGTAAGCTACATTTTTTCATAAAAAATAATGAATGTTTCCTGTCGGCGATTATGTTTCCCTCCAGTGGGCGTAGTTCTCAGAGTAATATGACATGTTGCGCTCTACTTTTGTACTTTTGCCTTAAACGCTCGTTTTTTGGGGTCGACAGCTTATAAAAACGTAGTTCTGTGTTTTGTTTTAGCTTGTTTACTCATTATGTATTTATTTATTGTCATGGATATAGCCTTTGCTGATAAGGAAATTAATATTTATTTATTTATTAATAAGTCATAGTTGCTAATTACTGTGACACTAAATTGAACCCAGCAATGGAAAAAATGAGAAACTTCACACCTAAATGGTTGTATTTTCTTACCATCACAGTCATATTGACTTTAGTGAAGCTCTGAAGCTGCCCGGTGTGATGGATGTGATCACTGCTAAAGACATACCAGGCAAAAGGTTCAGAACCTTCACAGGATATGAAGAAGAACTGCTGGCTCAAGATGAGGCCTGTGATTTATTTATTGTTAATTTTTTTTATTTAAGGTGTTTCTGTGAAGTATGAATTTTAATTGCATATTGAAATTCCTCAAAATAAGGCACAATTTGTAATCTTAGACTCTTCTGCATCCTCAGGTGACCTGTGTTGGTCAGATGGTTTGCGCTGTTGTCGCAGATTCCAAAGCACACGCTAAACGTGGGGCGGCGGCGGTGAAGATCAACTATGAAGATCTGCAGGATCGCATCTTCACTGTGGAGGTCAGAAGAAATAATCTAGTTGCTCTAATTTTTATTCTCACCTAACTGTTCTTTTCTTACAGAGCTGCTTTTGGATCTTGTTTTCAGGAGGCCATTGAGAAAGAGTCTTTCTTCCTACCTAGGAGAACAATTCAGCGAGGAGATGTGGAAAAGGGTTTGAGAGAGGCTGGAACAAGTGTATGAAGGTAAGATTGTACACTTCCTTTCTGATTTCCTGATTCATGTTCTATAACATGGTTCTGCATGTTTAATAGGAGAGATTCGGATTGGAGGACAGGAGCATTTCTACTTGGAAACACAGAGTTTTCTGGTCATTCCAGTTGGGGAAGAGAAGGAGATGAAAGTTTATTTGTCCACTCAGCACCCAGCGTTTACACCGGTATGATTGGCTGAATGGCCTTAAATAAATTAGCTAGATATTTTAACTATTTTTTTGTTTTGTTTTTTTTGTTTTTATATATATATATATATATATATATATATATATATATTTACTATTATTTTTTAGGGTTGCACCGAAATTTTGGATATATTTACTATTATTTTTTAAATTAATTAATTAACTTGGTAGATCAGACAGAAAGTTTATTTGTTCCAATTCGTTGTAGGACTCAGGGGTTGTGCCTTTTGTTATTATTTATTTATTTAAATATTTTATTTTGTTTTATCATGTTTCTTTTTATTTTATTACATTTTATTTATTTTGTATATTTATTTTTTACATTGTTTTAATTTTATTAATTGTATTTATGTTTTGCAGGTCAGGGAGATAAACGTACAAAAAAGTTTGTTATAATTTATTGTAGGAGTCAGTAGCTGATATGTTATTTTATTTTATTTTATTTTATTTTTAAAGATCAGGAGATAACATGTACAAGGAAGTTTGTTTGTTCCTATTCGTTGTATGAGTCAGTAGCTGAAACTTTGGTTTATGTTTTTTTATTTTATTTTATTTCATGTTTATTTATTTATTTACTTTTTGCAAATCAAGGAGATATACATGTGTATATATCAATTCATTCATATATTCAATTCATTGTAGGAGTTAGTAGGTGAGACTTTATTTTATTGTTGAAGATTAGGGAGATAAACATGTAAAAGAAAGATATGTTTTGTTCTAGATTACTTTGATCTGTAATCTGTTCTAGGAGTAAGTAGCTGAGATGCTGGCAATCCCATCCAGTCGCGTTTCTTGTCACGTTAAGCGACTGGGTGGAGCCTTCGGAGGCAAGGTCACCAAAACCGCCATTTTGGCCTCCATCACTGCTGTCGCTGCTTGTAAGTGAGTCAAAATAAGTTGGACAAAAATATCAGAATGGATGATTCATCATGATTATTTAAATTAGATAATAAATATAAATGATTTAAATTTGTATTTACTATATGAATATTTTTATTACATAGAAGTTTCTCTGTTCAGGACTGGACGGCCAGTGCGATGTGTTTTGGAGAGAGGAGAGGACATGCTAATAACCAGAGGACGCCACCCGGTGTGGGGAAAATATAAGGCTAGTGCTTTTTCTAAAATCTTAGGGCAAGTTTTACTAACAGCTTGCACCAGTGCAAACTGTCTTTTGGCGTTAAAATTGTGCTGTCAGGTTTTAATAAAGACACGCAGTGATGAATTAGCGCTGAAAAGGCGTGGACACAGTTATTTTTGCGCATGACCTTATTGAATATGCATTTGAAGGAGTTTCCCTTTCAGACGCAAAATTTATGGGAGGAGATTATTCAAATGAATCACGCAACGCGTTTTACTAACGTTTGCGCTCATCAAATTACTGGCATTTGCACCATTATTTAATGCCCAAAAATAGCATGTCTTAAACTATTTTGCGCTTGAAATGGCTGCAATTATTGTTGATAGGAGGTGGCACTCCAGAGAACCGAGAGCGTGTGGTAGAAGGGAGAGGATTTTTTCCACACATATTAATTTATTTTGAATGCCAGAAGAACACATTATCCGAACATATCGTTTGCCAAGACATATTATTTTTAATTTGCTGCAGGAAATAAAAGACGACTTGTTGGAACCCTCAGCTAGGAGTCATGCAATACCAGGTCTATCAAAACTTCTAGCAAACCTTCATTTTTTGTCCTCTGGTTCTTTTCAACGTGCTGTGGCTTCTTTATTCTTTATTTGCGACAACGCTAATTTGCGCTGAGCTTGGTATATTGCGTTGGTTGATATGTACATTAGATGTTGCGTTTGTGTTCTTTAATTTGCGCATTGTTAGTAAATCACACGCAGAAATTTCCACACCCATCGGCGCTGTTTTGGAATTGCGCTCTCGCGCTAATTTGCCCTGTTTAGTAAAACTGGCATTTAATCTAATAACAGCTAATAAACACTGACATATTAAAGGGGTCATGAACTGCCTTTTTTAAATTTTGTACTGTTCTCTAAGGTCCACTTATGATGTTATTAAGATTTCTACATCAAAAAACATCATAATTTAGATGTAGCCTAATAAGCTATTATTCGTGGCGGATTGTAGACTCGGAAGTAAATGCCACACCGCTATGATTGGCTAATAGTTGTGTATGTTTGACAGCATACATTCCTCATAGATGGACGCTGCTGTGATTTAAAGGTCAAAAACGCATAAATAACTCGATACATATCAAACAATCTGTAAGAAGAGACAAAGTAATAGTGATAGCATAATAAAAACAGTTAGTCACACTTGTGTTGCGACATTACTGTTGGATCCAATATAGTCGGCACAGTATCGTCTTTTAGTTTCCTTTTTTTTTTTTTTTTTAATTCCGCGTTGAATTGTGTCTTGTTTGTAAACGAATCTGCAGTAAAATGAAGTGAACAAAGGAACAAGTTCTTACTGACGCGTCTGGATCTTCATTAAAAGTAAAGTTAATTCACTCCTTCCTAACGATGGTATCAGAAGGAAGGCAACGCAAACACTGTTTTTCTACAACTTGGCACTGCACAGTATCTTGTTGTCTTCAGAGCCATCTTTATTGTTTGGTTTATGCGTAGACCTGTGCGTTCACTTCTCTCGTAAACACTACTATGTGCGCGAATTGGTGGGTGGGGCTAAACAGGCAGTGATGTCGATCTTCTTCTGAAGAGGTGGCGCTTATCCACACTATTACATCATAGAGTAGAACATTCCACAAGCTGCCTTGGACTGCCTTCAATATAAGCTGTTTTTAGACTAACAACAAAGTTTTGAGATCTGACACTTAGCCCTGTGTCCACCAAAGCGTTTTTCCCCGCGGCTAGCGTATTTTTTTCAGTTGTTCTCAATGGGAGCGCCGCGTTTTTTAAAACGTCAGGAGTGTGCCGAGTGCTGAGCGTTCGGGCGTATTTTTTTCTCGCGCCGAGAGTTGAAGAATGTTCAACTTTGGATAAAACGCTGCGCTCATCACTGTCACTTTCTAGTCAGCTAACCAATCAGAGTGCAGGAGGGGCGGGGCAAATTCCACACCGATCAACTGTCACAACAGTCATTTTGTTACAACGACGTGTCAACAAGCACAACAACTGGAAAAATGGAGGAGAAATTAATATTGCTGGTTTCTGAGCATCCATGTCTCTACCAGATGACTTCCCCGGACTACCACAATGTAAATTTGAAGAATAATGCCTGGAGGAACATTTCCTTTGCCGTGGGTCTACCAGGTAAGCAGCACTTACCTATACAACTAGTTAGGAAATAAGGAAAAAGCTATGTAGCTTAGCTTGCAAACCGTTTTGTTTGTTAAAATGTATATATGTAACATTAATGTCTCGCAGTCAATATTTTTCTTGCTTCAGTTGTTTTGTTTTTGTTATTTTTAAACGGACTAATCTTTTTGTCCATATAAATTTCAGTAGAAAAAATGTCGTAAAAAGTGGAAGTACCTGAGGGACACATATAAAAGAGAGAGAAAGAGGTCAGGTTCAGGGGCAGCAGGAGGCAATCGGAGGTGGAAGTTTATGTCCATTCTAAACTTTCTGGAGCCTTACATCCAGGACAGGGACACCTCTAGCAATTTCAGTCAAAATAGGTCATGAGAGGAGGATGTCAGTGTAGAGGCTCTCCTTGAGTCCCTGGTAACACCAGTGGAGGTAGTGGAGCATACTATGTGAACTTCAATGTTAAAGTGATGCTATATCTGTTTTGCTGCTATATCTGTGTTTAATAAATTGCAATTATTGACGGGTTTTTTTTTCTGTCAAAGGAATTATTAGGCTATTATTAATAGTAGTAATAGCAGCAGTATATGTTATCAATAAATTGCTATTAATTTTTTATTATTATTTTTTTTCCCTCACAGACAACAGATGAGAATGCACAATCCCTGTCACTGACCCAAACCCAGGCCAACAGCACACAGCCTAGATCTCCTGACTCCCCTGATGTGCCACCACCCTGCACACCTGAAATACCTTTGCGTCGCACTCTGGCTCCAAAGAGAAAGTCTGAGCCAGATATCTCAGAATATCAGCGCTGTGTCCTGAAGGCAATTAATAATAAGCTTTCGGCAGCCGAAATTTCGGTGCATCTCTAATTATTGGCGACATCAGAAATGGATATTATATAATAGATGCTTTTTTGAACATTTTAGCAATTTAAAAATATTAAAAAATGATTTTTTACACAGCACCCCTGCTCTCGACAGACGGCACCCCGGTTGGGAAACACTGGTATATGCTATCAATAAATTGCTATTCATTTTTTTATTATTATTTTTTTCCCCCTCACAGACAACAGATGAGAATGCACAATCCCTGTCACTGACCCAAACCCAGGCCAACAGCACACAGCCTAGATCTCCTGACTCCCCTGATGTGCCACCACCCTGCACACCTGAAATACCTTTGCGTCGCACTCTGGCTCCAAAGAGAAAGTCTGAGCCAGATATCTCAGAATATCAGCGCTGTGTCCTGAAGGCAATTAATAATAAGCCAGACAATGACGAGCATTTTCCCTTAAGTTTATCTTGGGCTTTGAGACGCCTTCCTCCACGCCGTCGTTCAGAAGTTAAAATAAAATTCCAACAGATTTTACATGAGGCAGAATTTAACTCTGACAATTAGTAAAACACTCACATACGTACATACACACAGACAAACACACACACACAGAAATACTTATATACAGCTGTAATTGCTTCAATTTTTATATTTATTTTTATGACACTGTTTTATTTATGAATCTGTACGTGGAAATTGATGATTACAAAATATATTTTAAATGAATCTACTTTCCCAGTCATTTATTTTACTTCAAATTTTGGTCAGTGTTTTATTTTTGTTGCAATGTATAGCTTGCTGGTGAAAGCAAAAATGGAAATATGCTCATTTTCTAAGGTTTTGGGTGGCTCTTAAAAGAGCCTTTCTTGATACTACTGGTGGTGGTCCTGATGTTGATGTTACTGATGGTAGTGGTCCTGATATTCATGCTAAAGGTTGTCTTGATGGTAGTGGGAGTCATTACAAGGCATTAGATGACAGAATGCTGCCATGCAACTTCACCTACAGGAGAAGAGAAGTAGGTGGTGTACCTCTGTCTAATTTCTAGTGCTTCCCTAGAGGCGTTGTTGCTGCCTACTCGCTGGATGGGCTGCATAGCAAGCTGCTGCTCTAATGGCAGGGGGGGCACAACTTCCTTCCTCTTCACCAGCATCCTCAAAGCGAAGGGACTTGTGAAGGATGCAAGTGGCCTTCACCACTGCATCAGCAACTTTTGGTGAGACACCAAGCACTCTGTGGTAGAGTCTCCATTGAGCAGCAAGGATCCCAAATGTGCACTCCACCATCCTCCTTGCACGGGAAAGACGGTAATTGAACACACGCTTCTCCCTGTCAAGGTGTTTTCCTGGATAGGGTCGGAGAAGGTTCTTCTTCAGAGGAAAAGCCTCATCACCCACAAATACATGTGGCACAGGTTGGAGGTCTTCTGCTCCTGGTAAAGGTGCATCCTCTGGCAGGTCAAGGGTCCCCTGGTGGAGGGCCTTACCAAAGTCAGAGGCACAGAGGGTCCCACCATCACTGCTTTTCCCATATGCCCCCACATCCACCATCCGGAAAAGGTACCTGGCATCAACTACTGCTAGGAGGACGATGGAGAAGCTCCCTTTGTAATTGTAATACATGGACCCTGTTGATGATGGGGCCTGTATTGCAACATGCTTCCCATCAATTGCTCCCAGGCAATTGGGGAAGTTCCATAGCCTATGGAAGTCTTCAGCGATCTTCTTCCAGTGGTGTTGTTCAGGGAAAGGCATGTATTCCTGGACCATGCCAGACCATATTGCCTCACACGCATCTTTTACAATTCTTGGCAGGAGCCGCCACTGGTCAATAGTACAACTGACTGTAATGGAAAGTCAACTCAAGAAAATTTCATATCACTAAATCATCAGAGTATTTAATTTAGATCAAGAAAATCCACACTAGACATAAGGGTGAACATCTGAAGAACCGACATCTGAAGGACCAAAGAAACATGTAGTCCGATTATTATAAAGCATCCAAACAACTGATTAAAATACCTAAATTAGAAAACAAAAAATACAGTTCTTCTGAAATGGAAAGTGTTTTTTTATTATTATTTTTTTTTTCTTCAGTGCTCAAAGTTCTGTGGCCCCTCTTTGTATGCTACTGTTTTGGGACACTAAGAAAACAAAAACTACAGCATATCTACTTTAGTGTTAAAACCAATATATAATGTAAAGTTAGTTGTATTTTCTGTTTCTGCAAGGATTTGGACTAACAGGCGAGGTCAGAGTTTCCTCCCTTTAGTTACACACATTAGTCTCTGGACACTAAGACCCTACACACAATCCTCCAGCAGACCCACCTACTCAGGTGAATATAAAATCTTGACAGAATAGCTCACAGACACTAAAGCTCACACAGGAGCATCCTGAACATCGTCAAATGAGCTATTTTAAACATCTCTGTTTCTGCCTCCAGGAGGAAAGGTTTGAAGGAGTGTTTGTGTCAGAGCCTGAACCTCTGGATATCACTACAAGGATTTTGGAGTCCAACAATGGTCAGGCACCTTGTAGATTTCTTGTAAATTTATCAGTGTGTTTCAGAAAATAGTGGTCAAATGTGGTCAAGATGTATAAATATGGTCAGTTATTTTATCAGTATGTTTCTCTTTAAATGCAGGATCTTCTGAAGTCTTGATTGAAGGAGATCTGGTGTTTCCCAAAACCAGAAATGCTCTCAACTGCTTTAACAACAACTGTTTCTGGAAGAAAAACTCTAACAACATAGTGGAGATCCCTTACATAGTGAGCGGTGAATTCTGTGAGTGAATGTCCTTCAATCATTGAACAAATCTATGATTCATGTAGATCTCATTTTAAATCTGTGGCCCTTTTTGTTTACAGCCTATAATAACAAATTAGTTATCGCAAATGCCATGTCCACCTTTCACTCCAAAACCTGCATCCGCTTTGTGGCCAGATCAACTCAGAGCGACTACATCAGTATTGAGAACAAAGATGGGTGAGAACAATCATAAAATATTAACATGAAACATTTATCAGTCCTTATTTAAATAAATAAATAATAATTAACCTCTTTACTTCCTCTCTCCTCTCAGGTGCTACTCTTCTCTTGGCAGAACCCTGAACATCTCTACACACTGAGACGACATGGACACAAGAGCCTCCCTCTCCATTCTGCTGCTGCTGTTTGGCATCTCACAGGCATCTTATTTCATGGTAAGATCCTGTCTGGTCTCTCCAGGGACTCAGAAGATGAACTTTTATCACTAGTAACATGTAATTCTTCTACTTCCATAAACAGGAACCAAGTTATGAAGATGTGTCCATACCTCTACCAGAAAATGTTGACATCACTACACAGATTTTGGGCTCCAACAATGGTGAGGCACCAAGTATATTCCTGTAAACCCAACAGATGATTTATTTAAAAAAATAAAAAACCTGGACATTTCTAATTCTTTAAATACAGGATCTTCTGAAGTCTTGATTGAAGGAGATCTGGTGTTTCCCAAAACCAGAAATGCTCTCAACTGCTTTAACAACAACTGTTTCTGGAAGAAAAACTCTAACAACATAGTGGAGATCCCTTACATAGTGAGCGGTGAATTCTGTGAGTGGATGTCCTTCAATCATTGAACATATCTATGATTCATGTAGATCTCATTTTAAATCTGTGGCCCTTTTTGTTTACAGCCTATAATAACAAATTAGTTATCACAAATGCCATGTCCACCTTTCACTCCAAAACCTGCATCCGCTTTGTGGCCAGATCAACTCAGAGCGACTACATCAGTATTGAGAACAAAGATGGGTGAGAACAATCATAAAATATTAACATGAAACATTTATCAGTCCTTATTTAAATAAATAAATAATAATTAACCTCTTTACTTCCTCTCTCCTCTCAGGTGCTACTCTTCTCTTGGCAGAACTGGTGGCAAGCAGGTGGTCTCCCTCAACAGGCAAGGCTGTGTGTATCACGGCATCGTTCAGCATGAGCTCAATCATGCCCTGGGCTTTTACCACGAGCAAACCAGGAGCGATCGGGATGAGTACGTCAAGATCAACTGGGAGAACATGTCTCCTGATATGGCCTACAACTTCCAGAAACAAAACACCAACAACCAAAACACTCCATACGACTACGGCTCCATCATGCACTATGGAAGAACAGCCTTCTCCATCCAGCCCGGGCTGGAAACCATCACTCCCATTCCTGATGAGACGGTGGAAATCGGACAGAGGCAGGGAATGTCCAACACCGACATCCTGAGGATCAACAAGCTGTATGGATGCTGAAGATGAGGAATAATTAAAAATGCATTGTGCCTGTAGATGAATAGTAATGATGGTCTTTGCTCTCTGGTGGTCTTTAAGTTCTGAAATGTGTGTTTGTGTTGGGAAAAAATAAAGTTACTCAAAGTACAAAACAACTTGTTTGTATTGTTTGCAGTTTGATATCTGAACACAACTACTAAAAGCTACACTTATAAACCCACTTTTGTTTAAAAATGGTGTGGAAATGGCAATTATGAATTCTTTGCTTTCACATTAAAATATACCACATTAATATCAGACTTAAGCACCAGTAAGGTTTGTGAGCAGGTTCTTCTTCTCCTTATATGCTGTAAAGTGTGCTAACTTTGCTGCACTTATATAAACACAACCAATGATTTCTCGTGAGCGCCAAATTTGAATTGAACTTGACAAGATTTTTTTGTCAATACAACTTCAATTACAGTCTGCTTTTCACATAAACAAGCAAATTAAATAAGACTTGGAATAACGCACATAAATCACAAATCAACTTGACACGATCATGATCACCATCCTCATCCTTGTAAGAGATGAAAATGTCATACCATTTTGGAGAGTGTGGGTGAAAAATTATGGGATTTTTTTTTGTGGCGAACAATTCCTTTTACATAACTATAAACATATATATATATTTGCAGTATCACTTTTTGTTTATTTATATTTGGGAACTTTTAAGAGCCCTATTTGTATACTTACATTTCTTTTTCTGTATTTTTGCATCACATATACAGATGATAACAGCAGAATGTAAGAATACTATGCAACAGATAATTGTTTATTTTTCAGTATTCATAATAAACAAACTAAAAGAAAACAAATTTTCAATGAAAAAAATACTGTAGGCTTTTGTTTCAGTTTAATTTGAAAGTGAAAAAGTAATTTGTAATTTGAAAGTAATTTGAACAATTTAGTTTAGATTAAAAAAAAACTACACGACATAATAGTGATCATTTGAAGAACAACTAGTGCTAAAGATGAGAAATTATCTTTCGGTGGAAATCGGACAGAGGCAGGGGATGTCAGACACAGACATCCTGAGGATCAATAAGCTGTATGGATGCTGAAGATGAGGCTTATGCAGACTACTTAATATAGTTAATGTGTCTGTAGGTGAATAATGTAATAAGGTGATGGTCTTTCTGATGGTATTGAATTTTCTGAAAAAAATTAAACATTTAACAAATGTGAACCCTTTTGTGGACTGTCTTTACATCTAATTTATTCTGAGATTCTGAGAGCAGGAAGTGAAATGAAGGAATATATAACAATGGAGGAAAAACCACTGCATCCATGTCTTTACGCATTCCTGTATTTTAACAATAAAAGGCAAAGCAAAGCCTGTAACATGTGATGTGAATCAGTCAGTCGCTCATTCAGCTGATGGTCAGTAAACCAGGAGCATCTCCAGTAACAGCACTGCGATCCTTCTCAACTCATCATGTCATCTGTATCTGTGAACAGTGAGCTTGTCTTCTACATTAATGGCAAGAAGGTATGTTTACATTACAGATATTGGTTTTAAAATTATGTTGTATATGACCTGTATATTTAAAAGGGTCATATGACGCGATTTCAATTTTTCCTTTCTCTTTGGAGTGTTACAAGCTCTTGGTGCATAAAGAAGATCTGTAAAGTTGCAAAGACTAAAGTCTCAAATCCAAAGAGATATTCTTTATAAAAGTTAAGAGTCAGCCACGCCTACCTAAAATGGCTTGTTCTAACACGCCCCCACATATCTACATCACTATGTGGGAAGATTTGCATAATGCCGCCCAAATGTTCATGCAAAGAAAGAAGGCGTAACTTTTATTCTCGCTGTAGTATTGTTGTTGCCGCCGCCATGTCGTGAAGGCGCTGTGTTTCGTTGTGAAAGCGAAACTACTTTGTTTGGCCTTCCAGAAGAGGACGATATCCGCTTCGTCATGCCTAGAGCTGATCCGTGCTGGTCGCTGAGGAAATACAACAACTTTGCGCTGTGGATCACTGGATCGGCTTTCACCGTGGACGAAGCGGAGTCCAGCCCGGGGTCGTCAAATGTGGTTGCCGCAAGCCCTCCGGACGCTCCTTCGTCAAATCCGCCAGCCGCACCGTTCTCAAGCCCACCGCCTCTGCTCACTCTAGCCGCCGGCCTCTGCTCACTCTAGGCCGCCGTGTGTGACGCTGTG